ATGAATTAATAAAAATTTACCTCACTTTGAATATTACCAAGATTCTTATCCAGGTCAACCGTACTGCAGGAGAAAAAACTTTTTATAAAAAGGCTGTGTTGGCTGAACAACTGCACGTAAAAAGGAGACAGGAGATCAGTGTGACATGGAAGCGAACGTGCCACTGCAGAGCGTGGAGGTTGCTGCCCTGAACACTACGAACTGGGAAGTCACCAGCTGGCAGAGACAGCACATGAAGCTTGCAAGAGTGACTGCAGGTAACAAGTGGAAAAGTACCTGTGACGTACGTGACTTGTCCTATGATTGGAGGGTCACACAGCAAGAAAAACGAGCAACAAAAGTAGCATAAAAGCACAACCTGAACTTGAGGGGCTCTGAACTGATTCAAGATCTCGGCACAACAGCCAGGTAGCGGAACCAGGACTCCAGGGGGGAGGGCGGATCCTGGAACTGCTGGAAGAGTGGTTACCTGATCCGAAGAGGGAAGAAGAGAGCCTTTACTCTTTCTCTGCCACCCATACAAAAGCTAAGAAAGCTGGGGAGAAATAAAGCTGGGGATAAAAGTAACAATCTCAGTCACGGCAGTTTTCTTCACAGGGTGGGTCCTAGTTGCCCCAGGTTGTAAGATCGAGAAAAACCTCCGACAGCTATTCGGACTGTGCAAGTTCGTTTCCGATTCCAAATTAACCCCTCCAGCTACGCGCAGCGAAAGCGCAGACTGTGACATAAGGCGGGAGCCGCACATGGGGACGAGCACTGTTCCTTTCTCGCACAGCACGAAAACTCGTAGGCTCTCTTACCCTATGGCTCTTCGTGCTGCGGGAAGACAAACCCTTTGGCGCCGAAGTGCGAGGCAGGCTGCAGGAGGGCGCAGCACGGAGGCTGAGCGGTCCCCTGCGTACGCCCGCTGGCACCTTAGCACCGCATAAGCTGTCGGGGTGTTTTCTGGGCGCTGCCTCTACAACCCATCCGACATCCACCCCCACGCGAGAAGGGAGCACCGCAGCGAGCAACGGAAGGGCTCTGCACGCTTCTCCTACTCCGCCCCCCACCCGCGCACTCCCCAAAGAGGGGTAAGTCCTCGGCTGCTGCGGCTTCTCTCCCTCTCCCGAGGCGACCCGCGGGCTGCCCTAACGCCTTCC